AGCCCCGTGGGGTGGGGGCTGTGAGGCCAGCGGTGGAAGAGCGTGGGGGGGGGCTAGGACCAGCTTCTTGCTGAGAAGAAAGGAAGTCAGGAGGCTGGTCTCTGGGCCTTGGTTTCCCTGGGTGTGGTCAGGGTTGGGGACTCTGAAGTGCTGGCTCCTCTCGAGTCATGGCTCCTATGTTCACTTGCAGAGGAAGGCAGACTTGGGCGGGAGGGGATCTCTAACCCCACAGGCAGAGACGCCCCAGGCACACCAGAGGGTGCGCTTCCGGAAACAGCCACGGGGTGACGGCAGAGACCACGTTTGCTTTTGTTTGGAATCATTTCAGAGTTAGGGTTTCCTGAACCCTGGGTCCCCTCTTAACTCGCACTGCTCAGGTTTAACATTCTGCTCCCGAGCACCTTGCGTGCACACTCAACCCCTCCAAGCTCAGGAGGTGATGCGCCTTGAGCCCTAACTCCTGCACGGCAGATTCCAAGATCAGGTGATTTCTCATCTGGAAAACCCTGCTCAAATATCAGCGGCCCCAGTGTTTTTTTGTTCTTTTTTTGATGTACTGCGGTTTGAACTCACGGCCTATGCTTTGAGCCTCTCCACCAGCTCTTTTTTGGTGAAGGGTTTTTTGAGATAGGGTCTCACGAACTATTTGCCCAGGCTGGCTTCGAACCGCAATTCTCCTGATCTCTGCCTCCTGAGTCGCTAGGATTACAGGCGTGAGCCACCAGTGCTGGTCCCAAGGAGGTTTTATACAGCACCTGCTTCCGCAGTTCAGGATCCTCTCTGGGACCAGCACACCTAAATGTTCACCTTTATTTTTTGTTTTGTTTTCTTCTTTTGTTCAGCTTTACTTCGGTTTACTCACTAAGCCTTCATGGGTTAACTTAAACTTTAATGTGTGTGTCAATTTAAAACGTGATAGGAGGGCTGGCTGCAGCTCAGTGGTAGAGCACTTCCCTAGTATGGCCAAGACCCTGGGTTTGATCCCCAGCACTGAAAATAAAATCTACATATTTTATTTGTAAAGAACATGATGAAAGATGAAGTTTTTAATTTTTTTTCTTTTCTTGGAACTGGAGCTTGAACTCAGGGCCTATACCTTGAGCCAGTCTACCAGGGTATCAAGAACTATTTGCCCAGGCTGGCTCAAACCATGATCCTGATTTCAGCCTCCTGAGTAGCTAGGATTACAGGTGTGAGCCACCGGCACCTAGCTGAGAAAAGGTTTTAAGCTACTTGCAACTTCTCTCATTTTTAGGTCTGAGCCTTTAATCAATATGATAAATGAAAATCAAACAGATTCTCTGTTTTTCTTTGGAATATTTAGTTTTCTGAGTACCAGAGACATCTTGATGAGATCTGAAGAATTCTGAACAGTTAGCTGGGTGCCAGTGGCTCAGCATATAATCCTAAATTTCTTCGGAGGCTGAGATTGGGAGGATCAAGGTTCAAGACCAGCCCAAACAAATAGTTCATGAGACCTCATTTCCAAAATAACCAGGACTGGTGGTGGGGCTCAAAGGGTAGAGCGCCTGTTGCTCTGAGTTCAAACTCCAGGTCGACCAAACAAAAAAACTCAACTCACAGATTTCAGCAAGAGTGGAATCTGGCCAGTTGTCACCGTTTTAATGCTACAGTTAGTGTACTGTGTCAGTCAAAGCCATGTTCCTTATGTTTTCTTTCTCTTTTAGACCACGAAATGTTTTATACAGTAAGAACAGATCACCAGGAGCTCATCAGCATGCAGACATTTGCTTCAAATCCCTCCCCGAGTTCCCTCTGTGCCCTCCAATCCTGGTGTGGTCACCCCCACTTCTTGGCTATGAACTCCCACCTCCCACTGAAGTTCAGTCCTTTCAGTGCTATGGCCTATGGGATCACTAATGGGACATCAATATTTTTTTGTGGACAAAGAAATAAGGTGGCTTTATAGCCAGGACATGGAGATTCAGAAAAAGTAAAGGGTGTGTCTTCCTAAGGTCATACAAGTCTAAAATCCTTTTTCTTTTTTCTTTTTTTTTTTTTTTTGTGGTTCTAGGGATCAAACCCTGGGTCCAGGAAAGAGCGCTACCATTGATCTACACCTCAGCCCCTGAAAACAAACATTGATTCCTTGTCCAGCAAAGTGGAATAGCAGGAGTGTTAAGAGTCACCTCAGCCAAGTTGAAATACTGACTTGGCCATTTTCTAGTGAAACGACTTGTCCACAGGATAAAACCCAAATAACGCACTTGAGTTTTTGTTTTCATCTGCACCTTTTCTTCAGAGCAGCTGTAAGAACTAGGAGTGAAATGAGTGGTGTTCTGCCTGTCACAAACAGGATTCAATTAATAGTGCTTGTTAAATTCTCTGTTTAATGAGTGTCTATTATAGTGCCACACATTGTTTTAAGCTCTGGGAACACAGCCACAAATGACAATGTCTCTGTCACTGTGCTAGTTACAAACTTAAGTAAAAAAATCTCTTATCTGATCCAATTTAAGTGTATCCAAGTTTTCGTTCTCTGGTCAGGATACTCTTCGGCGGTCTCTGTGGCCAGGGTATTTTCTGGCACATACTGAGTTTTCAGATCCCTAAGCCAACTCAAGAGCCAAAGCTGGACAATTCTGGAAAGCCTAAATTCTAGGTCCTGGGCTTTTGCTGGGTGAGAATGGGAGAAATGATACTCTTCAGAGTCGGCTGAGTGACACGGGTGTCTGTCCTTAGGAATTCTCGGTCTATTGATAATCCCGACAATTAAGACCATTGTGTAGCACTTACTTTTGTCAGGTTCGGGGTTGTGCACGAACAATCATTACATTTAATCCTCACAACCTTCTCCTTGAGGTAGAGTGGTTATTATAATTCATGTTTCCATCATGCTTTGCTGTATCTTTTAGTAGTCGTCATCACTATTGAACTGAATTCTTACAAAAGATGAAAAAAAATTCCCTTCAACAGCTTAACCGTTTAGAAACCAAACAAATTTTGTCAAGCATTCTTGTTCTAGGACTTAAGGATTCTAAGGTCAAAGATAACAGGAACTCTTTGTTTTCAAAGATAAAAACCAAGCAAAGCTTCCCTCCTTACAAGTGCTAGGCATACCTTGGATGGCATTTCTCAACCACCAGCTGATTTGGGTGACAGAAAAACAACAGTTTTCCTTGGAAAGGGCTGTGATTCTCTTTAAACACAGGCTGGGCATCTCTCAATACCTTTAATGATTTCTCGTGGTCACATAGTAAAACAAAACCTTCAGCCTGGCATTCAGGATTTCTCTTTTCTTTTTGGTGGTATTGGGGCTTGAACTCAGGGCCTACCCTTGAGCCACTCCACCAGCCCTATTTTCCTTTTTTGTGAAGGGTTTTTTTCAAGATAGGATCTCATGAACTATTTGCCTGGGCTGGCTTTGAACCGAGATCCTTCTGATCTCTGCCTCCTGAGTTGCTAGGATGACAGGCTGAGCCAGTTCTTTTTTTGGTGGTACTGGTACTTGAACTCAAGGCCTCGTTCTTGAGCTCCACCACTTGAGCCAAGCCCCCAGGACTTCTCTTAATTTTTTTTCCAGTACTGGGGTTTGAACTCAGGGCCTTATACTTGTGAGGTAGGCGCTCTACTACTTGAGCGAGCCCTTTTATGTGTTGGGCATTTTAGAAACAGGATCTCTGTTTGCCCAGGCCAGCTTGAAGAAACCCTTCAAAAAAAAAAAAAAAAAAGGTGTGTGTAGGGGGTGGCTGGTGGTGTGGCTCAAAGTGTAGACCCTGAGTTCAAACCCAGTATGTCAAAAAAAAAAAATCTGCAATCCTCTGCCTCCTGAGTCGTTAGGATTTACAAGCATGAGCCCGATGCCCTGCCTCTCCTTTTTTTGTGGTGCTGGTGATGTGCTAAGGACACTGTCTGCAGCTGAGTGACACCCCAGCTGGCCTTCGAAGTAGTTTCTTTCACCTTGGCCTCTCTGCGGGCTTAACCTGACTGATGATTGTGATTCTTCCCAGCACACATCAGCTTCTCAAGGCTTCTGTCAAGTGCTTCTACCATTCACCTCGGTCTTTTTCCCTTCTGTGGTTTTGACAACACTTCCTCCAACTTGAACTCCTTCGTACCCAAAAACCTACCACATTGGGCTCTGGTTTCAGCTCAGAGCACAGTGCTTGCCTAGCATGCAGGAAGCCCTCGGTTCCATCCCCAGCACTCCAAAAAAAAAAAGGGTAAAAAAAATCCTACCATCTCTCAGCCCAGACAATGCTGCTGCCTCCACTGCTGAGTCTTTCCTAATTGTCTCATCACAGGTGCCTTCTGCCTGTTGCAATACGTCCTTCCTTTTCCTTGGCTTAGCACTTTATATGGCTAGTCTTGTACAGCATGGCTCTCTAACACTGTGAGATGAAGGGCTGGACCTCTGCCCCTGCTTTTCCTCCTGTTCTCTGTGCTGCCAGCAGGGGGACCACCAAGCCTAGAATCTCCAGCTGGAACAGGCTCAGGGGGCGGTCCAAACCTGTGCACAGTCCCTCCCAAGACAATCTTCAGGCAAAAGACTATCCCATATAATCCAGCGTTAGGAATGCTACCAAGTCTTGGCTCACGTCTCTGCAACAGACATAATTTTTTTAAGTTTTACACTGGGCATCAAGTGGTTCAAGTCTGAAATCCTAGTTACGTGAGAGCCTGAGGTCACGATTGTGGTTTGAAGTCACACAAGGCAAACACTTAGAAGAGACCCCATGTCAACCAATAGCTGGGTGTGGTGGCACATGCCTGTCATCCCAGTGAAGGCAGGAAGGAAAAACAGGAGGATCGAGGCCCAGCTCAACCTGAGCAAAGACTGTCTTCGAAGTAACCAGAGGTATGGAGGCATGGTCCAAGTGGTTGAGTGCCTGCCTAGCTGAGTCGTGTATGTATATATATATATATATATATATATATATATATATATATATATATATATATATATACACACATGCATTTGTCATAAATAGGGGACTATATAGTGCTCAATTGGCTATTTCTCATTTCATACAGATTGCACAGGAAGCTGAACATTTTTCTGGAATGTTGACTGGATATCTATTTTTCTGTGAACGATTTTCCTGGGATATTTCTTGGCTTATACTCTGACAGTCAGGTGTTATAGGCACCCATTTTCTACTGTGTCCTGGGGATGGATCCCGGTGCCTTGCACGTTAGACAAGCCACATTCCCAGCCCTTGGTGTTTTAAGACAGGGTCCCAATATGTAGCCAGGCTGACCTTGTACTTGGTGACCCTCCTGTCTTAGTTCACGAGTGCTGGGATTACAAGTATGCCCCACCACACCTGGCTTGGGCAGCCAAGCTTCAGTTCCCTTACCTTCACAGTGACTGCAAGGAGAACTAGCTGAGGTAACTGCACGTGCCTGGTACTAAGTACTGAGCTGATCTTCACTAACTACACAGATGCAAAGTTACAAGTGTAGCTGGTGTTCTTTGGCCCATGGAATTTAAAAATAATACACCAGAATCCTCCAGGTGAGCCATGCATTTTTTAGTTTTAAAGCTCTCACCTCACTAGTTTATAGATGGGGTAAGAGATGCAGAGCTAGTAAACTAGACTGGGGTTCTGACATTCACACTGGGTTGTGGAGTCATCAGAGCCTGTCTGATGCACTGTCACAGGCAAGTTCAGAGCTTCTGGACTTCCAGGGTTCATGAGGGAGAAATCCTAACACAAATTACTATATCTTGGGGTGGGGTGTGGTTAGCACGTGCAAGGCCCTGGGTTCCATCTCCAGAGCTGCAAAAAAAGAAATTCTTTAAAAAACCACAGATAGGCTTAGACTGTCTTTACACACACATAGGAACATCAAATGTTAAGATGGCTGACAAAGAATGTTTCCACACATCAGTAATAATTTTCGCAAAACCTTGGAAGTACAGAGGGATTATGATGCCCATTTTGGAGTCATTAGATTTGGGGGCACTGCCTGAATGCCCATGGAAAGAAATGAAAATCAGTCTCATCTACTGTTCTAAATGAATTATGGGTAAAGTGCCCATCTGAAATGATGTTTATTAAATCCAGGGCGGTTGTAGCCACTGCCCAGTTGCCATTATGGCTTTGGGACACCTGAAAATACACACATACACACACTTTGCAGTGAACAACCAGTGGGCAGGTTTCAGACTGATGCACTTGCCACTGGAAACAATACGCAAAAATAAAGAGCAAAACAAACCTGAGTCCAATCACCGAGTTAATAGCTGAGGTCTTTATTTCAATTTATATGTACAGTAAAAGTGCTGCTGAGAATCAGCAGCTACCAGACAGCACATAAATTTAATTCTCTCTCAACAATTAGCAGCTTAAGATCTATCAACTACAGTGTTAATGTTCACGCATTCACAAGTGTCGTTTCTTACTTTTCAGTTCGTGCATGTGAGTTTTTATTCTTACACACTTTGATAAAGCACACGTACAGTCTAGTAGTCAATCCCTACTGAGGGTGTCACCTAGCATACACAACACACAGACAGAAATGTTAACTCTTGGAGTCACATTCAAAATCCCAGGTTTCGTTGAGGGTGATGGTGTGGGAACTGTAATTTTGCCTGTGTCAGTTTGATGATTATAAGATTTGATTTTGAATGCAGATTTTCCAAAGCTGAAAGGCAGCTCCTCATTGGAACTCACTTGGAATCCAGCATTTCCTCTGACTGTACCTCAAAGGAACATCAAATCAGAAACAAAACCAAATGCAGTGAAGACCACATGGAAATACTCTTAATTTTAGGACACAGCCAGCAAGGAAGGCTTGATTCCACAGTTCTTCTTGGCATCGGATTTTTACTCCAATTGGGACATGGGAGAGAGAAGAACCCCCACCCAGTCAGTAATGTACAAAATTTAACCTGCTTTTCCATCTTAAGGATGCACTGAGTATACCAAGGTACTGAAATTGGAGCAGACAGCCCTTCAATTACCATGAACAATATAGAACAATGGCCATTCTACAACCTGAGCAGAGTCACCCAGGCCAGCACAGCCAGCCTCACTCACCCAGGCTAGGCACCAGCATGAACAAGTAGTGAAGAAATGCTTCATTTCACAGGGAAAGCACACAGTCCTTTTTTCAAAGAGAAGAAGCATGAGAGTGAGGGTATGTTCCTCTCAGAACTGTTAAACTGTAAGAGCAGGGTTACAGAAGTGCTTTTTGAACAGACAAAAGTCCAAGAACAGCCACAATGCAAAGAAACGCAAAGGCAACAGGGACAGGCAGCAAAACATACAGGCAGGCATGAGAACAGTAGTATGTTACCAAGAGCAGTAAATACAGACAACTGTTGGGCCTGGTGAGTGACTGGAGACAAATGAGCAAGAAAGCTGACTGTGCCTGACCTGCACTGAAAGGCTTTCCCAAGACAGTTTGAGAGGAAGATGGAAAGTCAGTGTGGGTATGTTTGGCTGGAGCTCCAGGGGCTTTCCAGAGGTGAGATCCTTCCTTTGATACAAACTGTCTCAAGGCAAAAGGGATTAATTTCGACCCATCTATCACAGTGACATCCAGTGCCTGCAAAACTTAGTAAGTCTGCATGCAGTAGGAGACTCAAAAGTTCCACCTTAGAAAAACCACAGACTTAGTGGAGCATCTTCCCAGTAACCTTAGGGGGTTCTCTTCTGCACCAAATGACTAAGCTACAGCAGCAATGGCTAGTTTGCAAGGTCATTGTGTCCTTTGGCACTTCTGCCTGAAGTCACTGCAATATTTTTAGGCAAAGTTATACATTTTAAGTATATAGGCTCACAGGGATAATTTGTTTTGGCATGAACACGAATGGGTCCTAATGAGTTTTTAAAAAGAAAAATCATCCCTGTGGTCCCTGCTGTGGGTGTAATAGTGAGGTGAATGACAGTCATCTGGGGATGGGGTGAAGACTGGGGTACCTGAGTTAAAATATCAAGTGGGTATGGAGACAGCACGCTGACTTAAGAGGGCCAGCTCAGCAAAGTGAAAGGAGGTTGGAGCTATAAGGTGACCATCCTGGCAGACAGGGCAATGCTACTGTAGTTCCAAAAGAAGGTCCTAGTGGGGTTTCAGGACACAGCACATGCCCTCTGTGCACCACAGCAGTACAGAGAGAGGCCAGGAGAGAACCAATACTCTTAAGTCACACGGAAACATTAACCAAGCTCTCTAGGTAAGCTATGAAAGTTCAAGTTCCACCAGGATGACCGAACTGTATTCAGGATGGGGAAGCAAGCTCTGTTCATCTTTCTCAACTGCCCATACAAGTCCACTGCGCATATCAGGTTAGTCAGTCAGTCTAGGTTAACAGGAAGCTGGCAACAGTGTGCACCCAAAACCTGGATCCTTCTAACCTGACCTTTCCTTTTCTGCTCGTTAGAAGAATCACCTGCAGGTAAACAAAATAAAGCTTTGAAATTAAGGATGCTGGGGCCAAAATGCAGACAGAAGACTCCACATCACTTTGGTTTCAGTAATAAGAGGGTGCTGAACAGTAAATTAAGGAAACAAGGAGTTATTTACGACTCTCACAAGATAGTCTCAATTTTTCTTAACATCCACCCCAGTCTACTGTCACTGGGTGAACATTTTCTCGGGGTGAAAAAAAAAAAATCCCAGTCCTACCATGCTGGCTGTGGAAACTGTGTTCCCCTCGCCTCTCCAACCAAGCCAAGCCCAGGAAGTGGTATGGGGTGGCAGGACACCAAACAGCAGCAGCAGCCAGAGGAAGTTTAAGCTGCATCTCAAAACAGGGCAGCAGAGGGCAGCAGCGTTTCCAGCCAGTCTCTTCCTCACCCGGTTTCAAGATCAGAGGGAGCAGCACACTTAAATATCCACACGGCTTCATTTAAAAACATTACTTCTTTATTTCAAAGGAAAAATAAAAGACTTCCCAACCCTTTCCAAAAAAAAACCAAAAAAACAAAACCCAATAATAATAACAATAAAAAAATCCTACTAGAAACCATAAGGAAGCACTGAGAGTTTGAGTATTACATTCTTCAAGTATGCTGTTTGGATTTTTTATTTTTAAGTTGGTAACTATACACATATAAAAAAACCAAAACCGTAAAAGTGCGGCCAAGGGATTTGCTTAAAATTAAGGATGTATAGGGCTACTTCACATACTGTGAGGGCCGTGCAGCGGTCCTGCGGGCGAGACGCTCTCCCTTCCGTATCCTGGCAAAGTTTAAGGGACCAGGTCCAGAAGGGATCAGACTTCCAGTGTTAGCATGAATGGCCAACGGGTGAGAAAGCCAGGGAGATCCACGTGTTCTTCCACAGATGAGGGAAAGTCCACCCTGAATCCAAAAATTCAGACCTGGAATGTGGTAGGACTTCACAGTAGAGTTAGTCTGGGACAGGGAAGCATGGCGTGAGCCCAGACAGGGCTGGGTGTTAGGTGTCACTGGTGTGCCCTAGTTAGGTCTTTGCATCTTTTTAGTGGGTTTTAGTGCAGTCCTTCAAGCCACAATTTAGAATGCCCTTCAGTGTGCTCCCGATTGTTGGTTCATGTTAAAGGACTGTTTAAGATTTGCATCCCAAGGAAAATCATGCTACATAAAAATGATCCAAGATTTCGCCCAAAAAACTTCTTGGATAAAATCTAAAAAATACTATTGCAATTGCGTCTCTTGAAGAAAAGAATGTTATTCTAATGTAAACAGATTCACTCAACGCTCTTGTGGTGGGACAGGTCAGCGTGGGTGCTGCACGCTCCAGGGGGGAGCCCTGAGCAGCATCATCTGGGGGGGGAGAAGAGCCGGGCCACGTAGCTGAAGAGCGCATCCCAGTGCTTCCAGAGAAAGGCACCGAAAAGCACAAGGAATAAAGTGCTGAACGTCCTGTTGCGAGTCTTCATGAGGGGGACCACACAGTTGGCGACTGTGGACACAAACACTAAAAGGACGGCCATGACGGCCAGGAGGATGTTGATGAGTTTGCCCAGAAGGTTCCGGGCAGTGGCATTCTCCAGCCCTTCCAGCTGTACCACCTGCTGCTGCTGCTGCTGCAGCTCCATCTTGGAGATGCGGGTCTGGCATGCCTCCAGGGCCTCCTGCGGGCCAAACGGGATGGTGGTTAGGCTGCTGCTCACAAATATTCTGAGTGGCTGACCTGCCCCGCCGGCAAGCCAGGTGCACCTTGAGTTACGCCTGTGATTCTAACTATGCTTGAGCCGTACCTCACTATTCAAGGGACTAGCATTCCTCCTTGCATTCCTATGGATGGCTCACAGGAACCAGTGGCCACACTTTTATTTATTTTGGCATAGAACATTTTAATGACAAGACTTCAAAAAAATGATTTTTTTTCTTTCAAAAATTGTTAATCCAAGTGGCACCAGACACCTGTTTAAGATGAAGCAAGTTTTTATTGGAAAACCCAATTTCAAATAGGTCAGCTCTCGCTCAATAATTTTGTCAATTCCAGTCTCTGACAGTGAAGTACCACTGTCCATCCACCCTTTTGCCTGTGTTTGAGTGTACATGTATGTGCCTAAGGAAATGTACAGGATTTATTATTCTTATTTCCAATCTAACATGAAGAGTACTCTATAGGAATTTATCTACTACATGGTGCTATCACTCAGCCACGGGTCTTTGTGATCTCTCCACGTCAAAACACAGAGGTTCACCCTGTTCTTTTAAGTGCTAAAAGTGGTTCATAGGGTGGGCATGACATAGCTCACTTGGTCAATCCCTTCTTGGGGATTTCTGGTTATTTCCGACTTTTCCACTCTGACCATGATGCAGTGGACAACCTTTGACCATGCTTCCTTGCACACACTACCTGGTGTTTTCTAAGTAAAGCCAATCCCTGACATCAGGGAAAAGGGACTGTGACCTTACCTAACAATGGTACACTTCCTTTTGAGGTTGATGTCTGAAAAGAGGATACTATGCTCACACACTCGATCAAACATTAAAAGTGATTTGCTTCACTTAAGGCCAAGACCTTTACCCATGAGTCAACAGGAATTTCAACATAACATCCAGGGAACAGACCCTGTTTCCCTAGCCATGGACAGACATCTTCCAAACGCTGGGTGGTGGAGCACTGTGTTTCCTGGTCTTGGTTTCCTAGGATGTGAACTAGGGCTCAGGAAGCTTTAGACTGACTGAAGGTAGCTAAAGGATGGATACATAATGGTTGCTGTCCAGTCCATAACAATCTTGTGAGAAAAAAACTAAAACAAAAACATAATTCCAGGGCTTGCAGAAGATAATAGCTGGACAAGTGATCAGGACATTCCTTTGACTCCTTTTTAGGTGGCTGTAATACAAGTTTCGTGGGCCACCTCCCTTCTCTGAGACTAGCTTCTTTCAAGATGCCTTCATAGGAAACAAGCAAGACCTGTTCCCTTAGAAAGACTTCTTTATAGAAATAAGAAAAAAAATGTTCTACTTCTCTGTGGAATAAAACAGACTATTCACTTTAAACATTATTGCATCATGGCTCGTTCTCAAACCTTGTGACAATCAATCCACCCCTAAAAAACTGAATTCAGGAGCTGGGACAAAAGCCCCCTTTCCCATAGAAGCAGGAGGCAGGCAAGATGGCCACAGGACTCATCAGAGCAGCTCTTAAGGAAGCAGTAATCCACAGACGGAATGCTCTGGTTTTCCATATATTGAGACTACTGTGATCCTAAGTAACACGTCCCAAGAACCCAAGCAGATGGTGCACCCCAAAACAAAATGGTAGAGAATTTTGAGAAATGCACCACTGTCCCTTGGAGATCAGGTGTGCTCCTGGTGGCATGAGCTTTTCTATGTTCCTGCCTTCCCCCTTCTCTTTTCCTTTTCTCTCTGACCCTCTGGAGTGTTTGTTTTACGAGTTATTCTCCATGCTAACCTGGGTGTCCCGGGCCCGCTCATAGGACTGGTACGCAATTTTCTCTTCCATGCTGGCCAATTCCTGCTTTAAGTTCAAGATTTCATTCTGGTGCAGTTCTGTTAGGTCATTTAGCTGTTCTTCTAATCGCTCACATCTAAGAAAGGAGAAAGGTTAGAATTTTATGCATTATGTGAGTATCTTTCCTGGTAAAATTTATATCCAATTCCCAAAACTCACTCTGCAAAGGAAGAAAATAAAAGCATAAACAAACTGAGTGGCTTGGGTAACACAGCATGCTAGTAGGTGCTGCTCGGTCTCTGGAAAAGGCCAAATCATATGATAGCACAGCTTTCCACAATCTTTTCAATGCATAGCAGGTGTAGCTTTGTCCGCAGCCTGGTTAGCTTTAAGCATGCCATGATACCGAGGCAGTTCTTACTCTTCTCTGAGAAGCACATGAGAGAAGCAAAAACTAGAGTACAATTGAGCAAACCTCATTAGAAGATAAACAGCATACAACCTGACACTGATCTTCCAATAGTCACCAGTAGCTTATTCCAACACCAGACAGCTCACTCACCTGGTCGTTTGTGATTCAGAGCCCTAGAATGCCAAAGCCAGCAATGTCTGAGACATTTATCAACAAACATGTATTAAGAACCAGCCGTACAACAGGTATGTTCAAAGTACTGGAGTATTGTAAGCAAGACAGAGCACCTACACTCAGGTGTTCACATTCTACAAGGCAAGGAGGAGGCAGAAAAACCAAGATGATTTCAGGTATGGAGAAGTACAATAAAGACCAATAGAGGTACATGACGGATTGGCTAGAGGCTGGCAAAATTGCAATGACTAGGTAAGGCTTTTTCCCGGTTCAACTCTCTTCAGCAATGAAAGATGAAGGAGGCTGAAGATGTGGAAGGAAGAATAGCTTATGTAGGGATAGAGGCTTGGCTCAAGTGGTAGAGCACTTACCTAACAAGTACAAAGCCCTAGTTCAAAATTCCAGACAGCCCCCCACCCCCACCCCGTGAAACAAAACAAAAGAATAGTTTATACAGAAGCAATAGCAAGTACAGAGTTCTCAAGATGGGAACCAACTTAGTGTCTGAGGGGCAGAGGTGGGGCAGAGGTAAGCCAGAGTGGCTCACTGTAAACAGGAAGAATGCAGAAAGATGAGGTTCCTTGGAAGTAGGGGTAATTTTATCTACCTTGTATCTTTAGCAATTAGGATCATATACATGAAGGTTTACTCTATATAATGATGGAACTTGGAACTAGGCACCAGTGGCTCATCCCTGTAATCATAGCTACTTGGGAGTCTTAGATTGGGAGGACTGCAGTTTGAGGCCAACCTGGGCAAATAGTTTGAGACAACCCATCTCCAAAACTAACCAGAGCAAAATGGACTCGAAGTATGGCTCAAGCAATACAAACCAAAACAAACAAACAAACAAAAAGATGGAACTTGGGCAGAGCATCGAAGAACCAGCAAAAGGACAAGACCAGAAGTTTCAGGTGGAAAAAGATCACGGGAAAAGGGATGGAAGTAGAAAGGGTTAGAATAACTAGAATAGGGTAATCTTAAAGGTAGGTAGAACTGGGATTGTAGAATGGACAGCAAGCAAATGGCCCAGAACAGATTACAACATGGGGGAGTCACATGATAAACACAGAGTTTTAGGAAAATGAGTATCTGGAATGGTTAAGATGGCAGATGAGGGGCAGGGGTGTGCTCAAGTGGTAGAGTACCTGTGTAGCAAGCACAAGGCCCTGAGTTCAAACCCTAGTACCATCACTACCCGCCCCTGCAAAAGAAAAAGAAAAAAAAAAAAAAAGAGGGTCAATGAGGCAAGTTGTGTGTGGAGTCTTCAGAACAATAAAGACCTAAGTAGGCAGGGAAAAGAATGAAGACTACACCTTAAAAACACTAGAAACAGTGTAAAAGAAAGAAAAGAAAAATGTCTCCATCTTCTGGTGGTAAGAATGGAATCCTCACTCTGTGTAGCTGGGCAGGGCTCATCTACAGGGGAACAGACCACCAAGATGGCACACAGGACTCTACTGTGAGCCTCAGTAAAGCAGGATAAAACATAGTGATGCATACCTGTAATCCCATCACTCAGGAGGATCGTGAGGTAAAGAATGGCCTGGGTTACATACTGAGATCTTGCTTCAAAAACAAAACAAAATAAAATGAACAAACAAGAACTCAGGAGCCAGGGTAGGGCTCAGTGGAAGAGCCCTAGTCTCCTAAGTGTGAAGTTCTGGGTTCAGTTGTGTGTGTGGTGGGGAATGCAAAGCATGATGGAATATACTGCTCAGAAGGCTGAGGCAGGAGGATTACAAGTTTAAGGACAGTCTTGAAAGAAGGGAAAGGGAAGGAAAGAAGCTAGAACAAGCTCAAACATTTAAAACAAGTCCTCTTTCCTCCCTCCTTCCTTCCTTTTTTTTTGGCAATGTCAGGATTGAACCTTTGTACTTTCTTTTTTTGTGGCAGTATGGGATTTGAACTTGTGCTTGCCAGTCAAGCACTCCACCACTTGAGCCATGCCCCAAGCCCACAAATACTCTACTTCTGAGCTATATCCACAAACCTCCTCTTGTTTTTGATCACAATCTATAGTATACAAACTTTTACTCTCTTAAAAAAAAAAATCTTTTTTTTTTTTTGAGACAGTCTTGCTATGTAGCTCCAGCTGGCCTTGAACTCTTGATCCTCCCCCATCCTGAGTGCAGGGACTTGTAGGTGTGTACTGTCCATGCCCAGCTGAGCATATAAACTTTTAAGGAATATAAAGAATTTCTCTGTTTAAGGTAATTTTTATGTTCTCCTCAATGTTCTTCCTTTTAATAACTGTGCAATGAAAATTATATCATAAACTCCATTCTTCTCTAATAAACAGAAATTAAAAAATGTTAAGAAGTCATGGTCAGACCATTTTCACTGTTACTAAGCCTTACTTAGTTCTCCTTTACCCTTGACAGGAATCTCTGTGTTGCTTTCCACCATGCTGAAACTGTTAACTATCACTGAAGCAACAGAACAGACTGCTTCCTCATCACCTTCTTTCGGTAACTAGGGTTGATATTCCCTGTGACTCTGCTTTTTCACTTCATCTGCGTGCTGCCCAGGGCCAGTGCTCACAGAGAAATGCCATCTCTAGAAGTGATTTTCTACTAATTTTTAAGTTCGCCAAATGCCGTAATATTGACATATTGTCATGCTATCATTTTTAACACAATGGGTTTTGGCAGCGCTAGGGATGGAGCATTCTACCGCTGAGTTACATTTAGCTGAATGTTTTGTGATGTTCTGAGTGTTTGATAATTTCTGCATTCTCTTTCTTTACCATGTAGGGGTGGATACTTTTTAAAAGTGATTTCCAAAGAGTTGGTCTCTCTGACAGTATAGCTCAGTGATAGGGTGCTTACTGTAAGGCCCTGGGTTCAATACCTAGTACCAAAACCAAACCAAAACAAAAACCACCAAAAGAACAAAGTATGAGTCCCTTGGGATTTAAGGAAAAGGTTGTGGGTAGAAACAAGTAACACTCCTATACAAAGGATCTGGTGTGGGGTGGCATGTGTAGTGCCCACCAGCTTCCATGCTGACATAGCAGACATGTGTGACATCTGTGGCATGTATCCCATAGGCTTCTATGCCAACCTTTTGGCCCACAACTTGTATAGTCTTTCTGGAGTTTGAGGACTACTGGGATCTATTCGGTGTTAAACATGGCTTTCACACATGCATCACCTGAGAAGACTGAAAAATAGCAGTAGCAGATATTAAGCTGCCATGCAAATTCATTTCAACAATCTCAACAGAGTAGAAGGTGTTATCTTTGTCTTATAGAGGAAACTAAAGCTCAAAGAATTTCCAAAGTTACCTGTTCAGCATCACACAGCATGTGAAGAGGGATCTGAACCCAGGTTTGCTTGACTTTAAAAACCTAAGTTCTTAAACTTTACACTGTGATGCCATTTTGAAGCCAACCAAGAATCCCAGATTAACTATCTTTAAAAGCAAGAAATCTGGCATGATGGCACAAGCCTGTTATTCTAGCTGATGGGGAGGATCATGGTTTGAGGGTTTGAAGCCAGCCTGGGCAAAAACTTGGCGAGACCTCCATCTCAACCAATGGCTGAACGAGGTGATCTGTACTATCATCCCAGCTGTACCCGTGGAAAATAGAAAATAGGAAGATCACGGTCCAGGCCAGCTTGGGCGTAAAGCAAGACCCTATCTCAAAGATAACCAACAGAGAAAAGGGCTGACAGTGTGGTTCAAGTAACAGAACACCTGCCTAGCAAGTGGGAGACCCTCAGTTCAACCCCCAGTACCCCTCCCCCTAAAAAGTAAGAAAGCTGAGTCATCTTGACAGTGATCCAAATCATACAGCCACAAAGATGGAGAGTACTCCACTGACATGATGGTTTGGAGCTTGATGGGAGGAAGACGGTACAATAAAAAAAAAATTATGGATATACACTAAAAAAAAAAAAAAGATAATACCAAGTGTTAGCAAGTATGTGGTGATAGCTGAACTGCCTGTTGAACCTGCTGGTGAGAATATAAAATGGTACAACCTGCTTTGGAAAACAGTTTGGCAGTTCTACACAAAGTTAAACAGTTACCATATGGCCCAGCAATTCCACCCCAAGTGTATAACAAAGAAAAATGAAAACTTATCTTTACATAAAAACTAGTACATAATTTTCAGAGCTGCATTACTTGTAACAGCCAACAGTGGAAACAACCCAAATGTGTATGGGTTCGCTGAGTAGTAATAAATCGTCTTGGCTGATCACAAGTCAAATAACCACATTTTGTACCCTAATGTTTGTCACTTGTTCTTTTCCCTTTCAATTGAAGGATACTTGCAGAAATATTAGGATGTAAAATACAAATGAAGTACAATTTTGCTTTTTTATTAGATGTATAAAAACTCCTGAGCCCTATGTAAAACTACAAACAGGCTGACTTACGCTTTCATTCCCAACAGTAGGAATTCTGCCTTCCTACTGCAGACAGTTCACAAGGACACCAACACTCTTCTGACCCTTTCCTCTTCTCACCTGATCTTCAAAATACACAACAAAATCTATGTCACCCTACTAAATGGTTCCCAGTATTGAGGCCTGGACTAT